GCAACTTATAGTAGCAGCAAGTTTTATACTGGTTATATAAAGGTAATAGAAGTATATACGAAAGTTTCGTAGTTTTGTAATCCGTACCATTTGGTGATGTATTTATATAAGAGTTTTATATGATTACTGTAAGTAACAAGAATATAATAAGGTGATATAACTGTTTCCATCACCATTTTATAAAACTTTCCGTAACCGTTACCAATGTGTTTATAACAAATTTATATAAGGTTTGCCATTACCTTATCTATATAACTAAAATACCCGTAGTTATAGAGAAGTGTGATTAATCACCCTTATAAAAACCGGTAAATTGTAGTAATGGCTTAACTTTGTTATAAAACTCTTGGTGATATCAATTATATTGGGTTTCTCCTATAAAACTTCGCAAACTTCAGTAAACAATGCCTGGGGCTTAACATCATAACCTTATTTTTTAGTTTATAAAATTGCCGTCTTCACTCTTCCGCCTTCCCCTAGTAAACAAATATATTGTAAAACGAGTTTATTTTTATAATATTATTCATCATGGATTATTTAAATAACTGGAAAAGAACAAAACAAAGCTCTTCGTTCCGCCGCAAAGTTACAAAAAACTTCAATAGAATTTTAAGTTCGATACCATCAAACTCAAACTCCTTATCCAAGTATAATAGTGTTTATAACTCAAAAAGTGATAGTTCCAATAGTTCAGACCAATAGACAATTTGTCAATAATTCATGAGGAGGAGAAAAATGAACAGCTGAGAAATGATCTATAAAAATGGGCCTGTGATTTTAATATAACACAACAAGCTTTATAAGTAATTGTTAATAAACGTTTGCCAAATGTAGGTATTACCCGTAGATCCAAGAACATTGTTAGGAAGTCCAACCACGATTGTAATTCAAGAAATAGGCGAAGGACACTACTGGCATCAGGGCCTTGAGTTTTGTCTAAATAAATGTCAAGCAAGCCTTCAGAATTTATCAAATATTTCTATAAATATAAACATGAACGGTTTGCCATTTTATAAGAGATCCAAAGAGGAATTCTGGCCTATATTATTCAACATTTTTGAAGTACCTAAATTGCAGCCCATGGTAATTTGTATGTATAGTGGAAAAGGCAAACCTTTGAATGTTGAAGAATTTTTAACACCTTTTGTGGAGGAGACAAAACCTCGGACAAAACCAATTTTGGAAAATGGAATTACCCTAGAGAATAGTCAGATTTTGAAGGTCAGGATAAGATGCTTCATATCAAACTCCCCAGCTAGAGCTTTCATCAAAGGTAAATATAAAACTTTTATTTATTCAATTGATGAATAAACTATAAAATATATTATAGGAGTTACCAATTTCAATGGCCAACATGGGTGTCTAAAATGCACAACTATTGGAGAATATGCATACATTAGTCATTGCAATATCTTTCCACGAATTGAATATCCCAAAAGAACTGACCATGGATTTAGATCAAGGCAATATGGTCCTCACCACAAATGTTATATACCCCTAGAAAATCTCCCAATTGATATGGTGGATGATTTTCCAGTAGCAGATTCTCTTCACCTTATTGATTTGGGAGTAATGAAACAATGTTTGATGGGCTGGAGAGATGTAAGTTTCCGTAGCTTCAGGGTGGAATGGTCTGATACGGATGCCGGGAATATATCAACTTTTCTACATGGCTGCAAAATGCCACTGGAAATTCATCGTGCAGTAAGAGGTCTTCATTGCCTTTCAGAGTGGAAAGGACTTAAATACTGTACATTTCTCCATTAAATTAGTATTGTCATGTTAAAAGAGTATTTACCTTATGATGTCTATGAGCATTTTTTGCTTCTTTTTTGTTCCATAACAATATGCTCATCAAAGTTCCACTTTCAATTTATTACCTTAGCTGAACAAATGCTTCTCCAGTATCTTGAAAATTACAAAGACATCTACATCTCTAAAAAAAAGCATTGATAAAATTAATTATTGAATCAGATTAATTAATGAAATTATATTAGATATATAAGTGATCAAAAATCCATTTTCTGAAAAAGAAAGGATTTCTGATTAAAAATATCAAATTTTACTTTACCGCACACTATGCGGTAAAGTGCACTTTACCGCACACTTTGTAGTCCACTTTACCGCATACTATGCTGTAAAGTGCTACTTTCCATTTGCAAATACGTGCGGTAAAGTGCACTTTACCGCACGCTCGTAGGTAAACATATTTATAACTTTCCTGATACACCTATAAGGTCCTCATATTTGAATATATGTAAATGCTTCTGACTGCGAAGAAAATATTGCTAAATTTTATTTGTTAAAGGGTCATAATTAAGGCACGATAAAATAATGCAATTTGCACGTTAAAAAAATACTAAATGCTCGATAAAAAAATCCAAAATGCTCGATAAAAAAATAAGGAATGCTCTATATTTAATATAAAATCGCAATATGAAATATACAATTTGCACGCTAAATTATGTTCGGTATGTTAATGAAATATGCTCGATAAAGAAATATAAATGCTCGATAACTCACGTCCGATATTAAATGAAAGTTTCCATTTTGAATTAATATAAAGTGGTTTATAGATAGTTTAGTTTGAACCCAAAATATTGTTTTATGATAAAAAAATTTGGCGCAAATAACTATAAATTGGATTTTATAAATATTGAATGAATCCTTTTCTCCACCTTTGACACAGATCAATATATAATATCTATTCTTATCAGCTTAATATCACAATTGCTCTGGTTAGCAGATAAAAATTTAATAAACACGAAAAGTATCATGTGGTAGATATTCGAACGGAGAGAAAAGCTAAGCGTTCAAACCATTTTTTCAAAAAAACATTATTGAGTAATGATAAAGCGTATACTACCTATTGAACTATTGAAATTTGTACACTTAAACCGACAGTTACTGTGCTGTATCGAACCTGATTAAAAATATGCAAACTAACCCGCTTTTGTACAGCGTGCTAGTACTTATATTATAACTCGTAAACTTACCTGAACGGGAATTACAACATAATGCAAAACAACCCAAATTAACCCATTCTTGAAATGCATGCTACTTGAACACTTTTATTTTATCTAGCTTGTCGCGCTTGGTTGTCGTTGGTAATCAGTACACTGTATCCAGTTTTAGATAAGTAATTATTTAATATCAGTCCTTTATTATTAGGGTACAAAATATCAAATTAATTAATTAATAATTACTTATTTGCGCCCACATTTTCAATCATGGAACAATATTTCAGGATCAAACTGAAGTTTCTATGAAGAAGAAGCATGACATTTTTGTGAAGGATCTTCACATCTCTGACCATTACTAAGTAACACAAACTTACCAATACTAACCCAAAGTATCCCAAACCTAGCAATACTAACCCAAATTATCCCAAACTTACCAATACTAACTCTAAGTAACACAAACTTACCAATACTAACCCAAAGTATCCCACACTTACCAATACTAACCCAAATTATCCCAAACTTACCAATACAAACTCAAAGTAACACAAACTTACTAATACTAACCCAAAGTAACTCAAACTTACCCATACTAACCCAAAGTATCTCAAACTTAACAATACTAACTGAAGGTAACACAAATCTACCAATACTAACCCAAAGTACCTCAAACTTACCAATACTAACCGAAAGTAACCCAAACTTATCAATACCAACCCAAACTCACCAATACCAACCCAAACTTACCAATATACTAACCCAAAGTAACTCAAAGTTTCAAATACTAACCCAAAGTAACTGAAACTTACCAATACTAACCCAAAGTATACCAAATAATGACGGAAATTAATTGAATTTAGATTTTTCTCTCATCTTTGATACAGATCAAAGTCTGGTACTGAGCAATCCTCATAATTTAATCAAACCTATATTATTCTTTAACAAATCTTTATTGATATAGGATATAGGAAATATTTGTATTTGATCCTGATCATTTGTTACATTTATTGAGCCTATATTATTTTTATCGAGTATTTAATAGTTTAGGAAGAATATGAATTTATTATGGAGCAATTATTTTATTTATCGAGTGTCTATTATTTTTATCGAATATTTATAGTTTTAACGCGCAATGTAAATTTTATATCAAGCATTCATTAATTTTATCGAGCGTCTATTACTTTTATAGAATATTTAATTTCTTATCGTGCCTTTAGATAAATTAGCTGGAAAATGTAACATGCATTCGAAATAAAATATCGAGCGTATAATTTGTACCCTTTGTTAAATAGCATAAAATGTAAAATAGTTTGTATAAAGAAAGATTTAGAAACATTTGTATTTATACCACTATTGCATACCCTGTAATAAAACAATTATTTCTAACATAAAACGAAAGTTTTTATAAGATTATCTGTTGAAGTTATATACATAATATATACCTTTTATAATATGTATTCAGAAAGGCATAAGCAAAAATGAAAAATCAATTCTATAAACTTAGGTAACTGAAAAAAGCCTCTATACATCTTTTTAAAAAAAAAGGTTTATCAAAATATTAGAAGTATAATAGTATATTATGATATAAGTGTATAAGAGGGCATTTAAAGCACGCGCGACATATTTCAAAACACGACGCGCAGCGGAGTGTTTCGTAAGTTGCAAGGGCTTTAAATGCTCTAAAACACGCATATCATACGCTATTTTTTATTGCGAATGCATGATAATCTCAAAAATGTTTCAAATTTGTTCATTCATTTTGATAAATAGTAATTTAAACGGCAGGTAAATATTTAGGTAATAACAATAACGTTTCTATAGCAAACCCTTGAAAAGGTAGGTACATCATAAACATCATTTTATGCACGCTGCAGCGTGCGATAATCGATGATTATGATGCATGGGTAATAAAAAAACATTAAAATGAGAAAGCAAAAAACAGAACAGAAACTAATTGACTAAATTAAAAATTAATTACAAGTGAGACAGAGTCTCCATCTAAAATTAATTGTCTTCAGCTTCATTTGTCACTAGAATTACCAGAGCTTCTTCATCATTAGCTACCTCGTTTTCTTCAATAGCTACCTCATCTTCTTCAACCGTCTCATTTTCGCCAACTGATGCGTCATATTCTCCAGCTTCTTCAGTTATTCCACCGGCATTTTCTTTAATCTTTTTGTAGGTTAAGTTGTTGGGTCTCTGTTGGCATTTTTTATAACGCTTTTGAAAAAATTTTGCTAGTCTGTTTCTGTGTATTGGGAATCAGCTTTTCTGATTATTTTATAAAATAGATTCATTATATTTTTATATTTTTTGAAAGCCATCTTGCCCTCGTTGTGCCTACTGCCCCAACTCCATGAAAATTGAAGCAGTAATTGTCTTTCGAAAAAACAATCAACTAATCCATACGAGCAGTTGTTACCCATCAAACCGATTGAAAAGTAAATAATAAACTTTGAGGAAGTGAGAGAGTGAATGGGTAACTAAAACAAAAAAAAATAAAATAGAAAGAGAAAGTTGGTCGGTGGCTAAAATCTAGAAACGGGACTTCGTGTGAAGGGTTGCCGACTAGCTTCCAATGCGGAGAGGGGTGTGGATCAATTAAATAATTAAATATAGAGCGCCACCTGCTTTTCCCTGCAGTACACGAAGTCAACCGATATAACGAAAGCAGGAAACTTCTACGGACCTATAGCAGCACAACCTGAAATATAAAAGTGAACAAGAAGGAAGGACAAAAGTGAAATGCTTTGCTACAATCAGGTACGGGTTTTTAATTAGAACTAGAACAGGTTTGACTCTAGAGCAGATTCGGAGTGGGTTTTCCGAACGCCCTAGCACACTGAAAACTATTAACACTGGAACCAGAACAAGAACAAAATAAATCGACTAGGAGTACCTAACCTTACGTTCTTAAAATAGTATTTACAATAATTTTACACAAGTTGAGTTCCTAAATAAAGAAGTAAAGAGTATTGTATAATACTTATAACAGCAATAATACCTGAAATGTAAATTAATAGACAGCCTACTAAATGCAGTACCTTCGTAAATGGCCATTTAACCCCAGTGTCTAAGTTTTTCCCTGTATTCAGTGCAGCATGTATTTATGGAATATTAGAGAGATATAGATCATTAATTATTAAAGTTGAAGTAACAATACGTAACCTGAAGGGCGAATTTAATATTATGGAAAAAAATAGGTAATATAGATCAATAATTGAAAGTGAAGTAACAATACATAACCTGAACTTCGTTGACCAGTCAGAAACAACTACTCCGAGGGCAAATACCCCTACCGGCGTTGAACTACACTGATTGGTCTGAGCTTTCGTTGGCAATAAAAATTGTTAGAAAGCACGTTGGTCATTACCTGTAAAAATCTTTCTAACAATACATAACCTGACGGGCAAATTTAATATTGTAGTGTACTGCATTGCTGTGGTGATTTATTCCAACAAGGGGTTGGTAAGGTTTGATAGGTTCCAGATATTAAAACAATATAACACACTTATCAAACCTGAGTAGTCCCTAATCCCTTGAGGATAACCTGAAGGATTGGATTGATATCTTCGTGCTTCCGATGGCCTGGGACTGGATCAGGGCCGCAACAAGAAGCAATTGGCGCTGGGCACTGAAGTTCAGTAACTATAGGAGTCACTAAAGCTTCCAATTGTCTAGAGGAGGCTGAAGAGGAGGTACGACTTGAAATGTACAGTAAGCTTAACGCTTAACTCTCTACTCAAAGTTAAGGACTAAAGCGTGACGAATAAATAAGGCCTGAAACAAATGGACGTTATGAGACTGGGCGTGGAGCGATAGGTAGGTATGTCCAATATTCGGAATTTAACCATATAATTAACAGAAAACTAGGTTTTTACATAGGAAATAGAGACATACAGAGAAGACAAATAAGAAAAACCACTTACCAAAATACTTTGGCCTTTAGGAACAAACAATTGATCACGGAGTTCTTTTTCGGCGCACAAAAAAATCCGCGCAAGGCGCTTTGGTACTAAAATAACGGATTAGCCACCCTAGATCTATGAGCGAAAACTGAATAACTCAGAAATCGGCAAAATGTGCCTGAGGAATTTTCCCGAACACTAAATCGTAGAAATTCCTGGACCTGAATGACCTCTGCTTGTCCCTTCAATGTCCTTTAGAAAGGTACTGTCAAAACTCCAAGGTGAAAGGTTCTGGGAAATTTTGATGGTAGCTGGGGCATGGGACTTATTTAAATTAAGTTAGTACCGGTCATTGACCTTATTTGGAGCGCTGTCAATCTAGTCAATTTAATCCGATCAGACAATCAGCTGTTCCAATGTAAATATTGTGATTTGATTTATTAATAAATTAATTTATTTTAACCCTATAAAAGGAAATCAATTCCATTATTCAACCTCTAACTCGATGATTCTGGGAAGAATGGAACGTTTGAAGAAAAGTGTGGCCGCAGCTATTGGAAAGGAAAGAGTGGCTCGACGAAGGTATGCTGTTCAATGAGGCGAATACGCTTATTTCCTTTTATTTTGGCCCAGGAAAAATCATCCCGTAACACAGTTCAAACCATTCCTTCTGCCGCTGGTCCACAAACATGAGATTTGCATTTAACCTAAAAGGAAAACAAAAAACTAATAATTAACTTTAGGGTCAGTTTTTATACCCTATTCATAATAATAAAAGTAACTGACCAATTTTTCCATATATATTTCATCTAAAAGTTTTAAATTGACCAATGAATTGATTGGGAGGGGATCAAGTGTTGCTTCTTTGATTGTAGAAGCTTTATCTGTTTCGTTGGTGGATGCTTTATCTTTGTCACTGGATAGTTGCCGACAAATTTGTTCTGTCATAGTTTCTTAATTTGCCAGCTGTTCAATAATTCGCATCTGATTTTCTAACAGCTCACTTTGATTTTGCAGTATCATTGTTTGGTTATCCACGTATAAGTTTATTTGCTCATCTGCATCGCTTTGTTCCACGTCTTCATATGTAGATTCTGTATCTTCTTCAAAATTCATGATCTGAGAAGAGGGCAAGTTTTTATCTTGTACAGCCTCTGCTGTATTTTTATTTATATTAGTGTAACATTGGCTGGGTACCACCTTTCGCTGCTGCTGTGAAGCTGAAAATAGTTGAGGTTTTCTTTGATCCTCTACTACCTGCTAGAAAAAAAAAACAATAATTTCATATGGGTGCCCACATTGATTATTGCTACTACCTTATTTTTCGCCAACTTTTGTGATACATTATTTGTGTACTGCTGTAGAATATTTCTACTCTTCTTATTAATTGGCTGTAAAAAATTAGCAATCAAAAAAAAGATTTTTTTTTAGATTCTGTTTTAAGAAAAAGTTTTAAAAAAATGTTCAACATAGACCCTATCGAATTCTATTTTGTATTTGATAGGGGTAGGTATTCATTATTTTGAGTAGGTAAAATTTTCAAAACATATCATGCCTGTAAACTCGTTTTGCACATTTAATTTCTCCCTATCCTCTTCCATATTATAGAGTTCACTTGTATGCCAAGAAGCTCTGTTGCTTTCTGTAATATAAAATTGTTTTTGAAATAATAAGATGCATTATCACTTGAGTTAGGTAGGTAGGTTACGTAGATACTGAAAATAAAAATTTTCTCAAAAATTTACCCACCTTACACGCCTCAGCAAGAGAATTTAAATTGGCTTGAGAAACTCTACCGACTTCGGCTCTTTTTTGAATGGTTAGGCTCTTTTTTGGCAACAACTCCTCTTCTGCCTCGATATCGGTTCTCTTTCGAATTGGCCTTTATTTGGCAATTCCAATTCGCTATATTCTGCCTCACTATCACTTTTTTGTTCCATTGCCATTAACTCTAAGTCTGCCGCTTCATATGACAGAAATATTTGCCTTTTTCTGGTGCAGGGCTGAGGGACCCAGTCTGGTTCTGGTCTGGAATTTCCATCTCTGATCAATTTGAACAGAAGCCCCTTCGTTTTAGCAGGAGGCCAATATAAAGTTCCATCATTTCCCCAAGCCGATGGCACAATTGATAAAGAAGGGGCCTTACGTCCAGGCTCTTTTGTTTGCATAATTTTGAGAGATATGTTTGTTTAGGTTTGGGACAAAATCTATTAGGTAGATATTTATTATTAAATCAAATATTTTGAGGTTATAAACATATATGCGTGCGACGGTGCCGGTGGTGCGGTGTTGTCGTTGCCCGTTACCACTACATTCTAAAAGTTTAGAAACTCAGTTTTAGTAACGTATGTTACTATAATTTATGTAGGTATACTTTGAATTTCGATAAGTTTTATAACAACACTATTAAAATTGTATCCTGTTACCGTGTAGTATATAAGGTCACCCTAATTGATATTATGCTTTCCAATATTTATATTACCGAATTACTTTGTGAAAATCCAATATTTGACTTATTTTATCAACAATTAATATGAAATTAACCCATACTTGTCAAATGGTGACTTATACAAATTTCATTGGTTATTAATTCGTCGCAAATTAAAAAACAAACTTGCGCATATTTTTTGAAAACCTTACATAATAGTTATATGATATAAGTGCTAAAAGTGACATTTTATTTTGTGAAAAGGGACGTTTGGGACACGACGCCGAAGGCGGAGTGTTCCATCCCTTTGAACAAAATAAAATCACTTTTAGCACGAATATCATACACTATTTTTTCTACAAACGCACTAAAAGTGGTTACTTTTAGCACTAGTGCTAAAAGTAATCACTTTTAACACCAGTGTCAAAAAATGGCATTTTAGACACTGACAGCATCCGTTAAAAATTACACTTTTAGTGACGTTTGTAGAAAAAATTGATTATTATTGGATATTTTAAGGGCCCCTGCATTTTTTCGAAGTACTTCATTAATATTTACTGTAAAAAATCGTTCCCACCTACATTTTGAGTCACGGAAGAGCCTGAAATTATTCTAACAAACCAAGCTGTATTTCATAATTCGTTCTCCATTTTTATTTTTTAAGTCCAATCCTCTAACTACTGACTGATAATATTTCAGAAGTAGAAAAAGGCCTTGTAAATTGAATATGTTCGATAGAGAGGGAAATAAACTTTCGCTTTTTTTTATAACTGACAAGTGACATATTTGACAGAAAGAAGTCACGAAATTTAAGTAACGGAACTATTTCAAACACCAATATACGCAAAGTTTATAGCGGTAACCGAAACATATATAACACCTACATTATATCACTGGAGGTGTTGAGAGTTGAGACCGAGTTATTTAGAAAGTTATATAAAGGTTACCACAATATTTCGGTTACTCTAGGTAACGTGACCTAAATTTATATAGCGTTACTAAACAAAGGTTTTCGCAACCTTCATAAATGCCTCGTTTAAGCTCTTGTTCATAACAATATAACTGTAGGTTATTTAAGATAGGTGATATAACATTTACGGTGACTATTATAAAAACAAAAATGTTTATTGGGGTATGGTCAAAAGTGGAAGCCTTTGTAAAAATACAACTACAAGTTCCTGAGGTTAATCCACCTGGTGTTGTAGAGCAGAGATTGAACTGCCTTGAGCAGATGATTGATTCATTTAAAGATACAATCGTGGATACATTCCATGCATCAGCCCTAGCCAGAGAGGATATGCCCGTTGGCAGATAAATTCAAGTAGTTTAACATTTTGTTTCTGAGGCTGTTTCGGTTTAAATTTTAGTTTGTATATATGTTTTGAAATACAGGGGTGGCCAAAAGTCTGGAATAAAATTAATAGATTTTCAGCAAGTAATTTTTTCAAAAAACGCTGAAACATGTCAATTGATATCGAGTTTTTCACATTTTTCGGTTAAATAAAAAAAAAATCCAACCCCTTAACCCCCAGCGACCCCAATTTTTTTTGTTAAATAGAAACCTATGTCTTGTGGGGGCTCATTGAAAAGCTCATAAAAAATGGAATACAGCCATATGGAATAAACAAGTTTTGTGTTTTTAATAACTATTTTTTTTATGAAATAAGACTCTATCAAATTCTACTCACAGGTGATTTAATGCCGCAAATGCTGAAAATGTCCTCCATTTCCTGTCTGGCATTCTCCAAGGCGATAGTAAAAGCCGTCCACAGCATTACGAATTACTTCAGGTGGTATATTACGTATCTCCGCCCTGATTTTGTTCTTTAAATCCTCAATATTATCCGGTCTATTCTGATAAACTGAAAGTATTCTAGGGGCGTTAGGTCGGGGGATCTTGGTGGCCATTCAATTGTACCGCGTCTTCCAATCCAACGATTTGAAAACATTTCATCTAAGTACCTGCGACCATTAAAACCAAAATGTGGAGGAGCGCCATCTTGTTGGAACGAAATTCTTCATCGAGTAGGTCTGGATCTCTATGAGGGAAAATCTGGGCTAGCTCAGGTATCAGTTCGAATGTCAGGAAGTCTAAGTAGCGTTCGGCCGTAAGGTTTTCTTCAAAGAAAAATGGACCCAAAATTTTATTATTGATAATACCTGCTCATAAATTAGGTTTTTGAGGGTGCTGCGTATGCAATTCGGATACCCAGTGTAGATTTTCCTGAGACCAAAAGCGATGGTTGTGCCTATTAACCATTCCATCAGATAAAACGTAGCCATATCCGAGAAAATTATATTTAGTGGAAAGTCATTGTTGTTGTCACACCGTCTCATCATTTCCTTGCAAAATTCCAAACGCCTATCATAATCGTCTCCCGAAAGCTCTTGAACAACGCATACCTTATATGGATGATATTTCTCTTTTTTTTTGAAAACCTTCGAATTGTAGTTCGATGAACATCCTGAGTGAGAGCTCCAGAAACAGTTGAAGTATGAGGATTTTCAGCAAGATGTAATGCTATGTCCAATTTATTTATCATCATCCAAAACAACTCTTCGACCAGATTTAAGCGAATCACGTACTGTACCGTTTTCCTCGAATTTATGAAATATTTTAGACACTTTCCCTTGCGAGATTTGGTTTTCGGGATATTTCACATTAAATAAATCACACATTTTACCTTGACTTCTCATGTTTTCTCCACATCCAACTAGTATCAAAATTTCCATACGCTGCCTTTCCGAAAATACCATTATGATTTCAAAATTATTTTAACTAAAGTAAACAATTCAACTGAACAGTCTGGTAGATGAAAAAAGACGAAAAAAATACCTAATTTTTTTGCTAGCAACAATAGTAATAATGATAAAGGTTCAAATTCTTTATCTTATTTATTAATTTTTTGCAATCCTTTCACTATACTTCAGTAGTTGATTTATAAGGCCCTAAAAACCTGGTTATTGAAAATATGAATGTTTATTTGGTATAGCCGAATGGCATTTTTTATGAGCTTTTCAACGAGCCCCCACAAGACATATGTTTCCATTTAAAAAAAAAGTTCAGGTAGCTGGAGGTTAGGGGGGTTAGATATATATTTTGTTTTTTATTTATTTGTCAAAGTTTGTCAAACGAATTTCTACTTATGCAAAATTGTTCGACTCAAATAATTTCTAAATATTTTTGACACTACAGGCGTCCATAATTAGGCTATGGAAAAAAACTTTGTTTTACACACGACGATAAAATGCCATTATTGTCTCCCGGAATGAATTCACTCGCGATTCCGCTCGTGAATTAACTTTTCCGGTCAACGATAAAATACCATTTTATCGTCTTGTATAAAAAATAATTATTACTTTGTTTTTTGTCACAAAACAAAGAGAAGTTTTGAGATAATATTTCCTGTAATAGTGGAATCACATCCCAGAGTTTGGTATATGTTTTCATATTAGTAGCTATTCCATCGCAAGTGATTGAATGGATACTCATTCATATTTCAGATAAACTCCGAATACAACAATTAATCAATTAGGCTTGGGTGTTCGCATCAGCTTCATCAATTACCAAATAATTAACAGGACATTTATATCTAATAGTATAAGTAACTGTTTTGGGTTGATGAAATAATCGGTGGACTGTATATTTGGTTTTTACAATTTTATTGATCAGAAATTTTACTTTTGAGAAGCAAACAACTTTTTTCCATTCGTGAACGTTTCGCCATGTTCTTCGTTCTTCTTGTCTTCTGGCTTCCCGGCGCTGTTGCCAAGTTGAGCTTCATTAGAATTTTTATAAGAAAATAATTCAAATATTCAACATACTCCCGCCTTGAAAGTATTACTTTGAAAAAAAAAAAAACATATAAGAAAACGAAAATAAATATCCAAATTCGAATAACAGACTAAAACAAACGAAAATAGTTCTCCAACTTAAGTATAAATTGGTTTACATATTATGTT